CATTTAGGCTATAGTAAAGGCCTAAATGGGCACCTTACATAAACAGACAAATGCACCAGCCATAAGTGGAGTACATTTTAGTAGCCTCGATCTTCTGCCAAGATAAACAAATCTAAAAACTATTGACGTTGATTCAAGGACACGGCCTGAGGCTAAATTTGTTTTAGTAATAGTCTCAAATTCAAAGGCCTTTCTCTTCCATTTGAGATGAAAACAGCGTATTGTCTCTTGTGCCTTTCAAGATGGTATGACTTATGGTGCCATTCATGTAGGGCACTAAAGGGAATAAAATACCTATAGTGACTACAGTACAGCCTTTACAGTATGGAAGCGTTGCCTTAATAAAAATAATAATACATTTAATTTATATAACGCGCTTTTCATTGAAAACCAATCTCAAAGTGCTACAGTAAATGCATTAAAATAAATAAAAACAAAAGACGTAGACAAGAGAAAGGCCATAACTAGACAGGGCCACTCACACAAAGAACACAGGTGAGTCTACAAGGGACAAGGATAACAAGGAACAGAGCTATAACTACCAGAAGGCCTTCCTAAAGGGGACATGTTTTAGGCCATTTTTGAAAGAGCCCAGAGTCTGTGGTGCCTTCAGGTGGTCTGGGAGTGCATTCCAGAGGCGGGGTGGCTGTCGAGCAGAAAGCCTGATCCCCCATGGAGCAGAGCTTGGTCCTGGGGACGTTGAGGAGAAGGTTATCGCTTGACTTGAGGTTGCGGGTGGGGTTATGGGACATTCTGAGTGAGACGGGGAGCCAGTGCAGAGATTCCAGGATGGTGGTTATGTGTTCATGCTTACTCACTCTCATCAGGATCTTGGCAGCATTGTTTTTAATGTACTGGAGCTTCTAGAGACTCCTGCCAGGGATCCTGAATAGAGTGCTTTGCAGTAGTCCAGCCTTGAGGAGCCAAATGCATGGATGAGCTTATCTGCATCAGACTGAGTAAGAGTGGGACGGAGTTTGGCAATGTTTTGCGGTGATAGAATTATGCTTTGCACAGGTGTTTGAAGTGATCATTGAAGGTCAGAGAGGAGTCAAAACTTAACACCCAGATTGGAGACTGAGGATGAGAGAGGGATGTTCTGGCCTGCAACGGTGAGGTGGGTTATGGGCGAGTGCTGGACCTGGTGAGGGTTGCCAACTAGAGGTGTTCATGGATCCACCTGTATCCAGAATTCTAAATAACGTCACGGGTCTGAGTTGGATCTGATATGATTGTCACGGGTCTTAATGGAACTTAGGCCTGTAATTGGCCGGAACTTCAGGGTCCAGGGTTGGCTTCTTTAGAAGGGGGCTGATGACAGCTGTCTTGAGTGCAGGTGGAGATGGTATTTCCTCAACACCAGGGAGGTATTGAGGAAATACCTCCCTGAGTGACTTCTAGGAAACAGGAGAGAGGCTGAGGTTGCGTTGGTAGAGGGTCGAGGGTGGGAGGAGACAGAGTAGTAGACCTGGAGATGAGAGCTTGAACTAACCAAGCGATTCAGACCCCTGGCCCTTATGGTAGATTGAACAGCTTATTGATCCGTTTTTCTAGACAGGCTGAACATTGAGTCCTTGAATCCCCCCACTTTCAACCTGCATCCCATCTTGAATGGCCACTACTCTGAAATGCAATACGTGTCTGAAGACATTTCAGATGTAGATATTAATTGGTGTATTGCATTGGTGCAGATTAGGATGTGCGTTGGTATATCAATACAGTACAGATTGTTCCGTTTGGATTGTTTTAGTATTGCTGCAGTGGGAAAATAAAATATTGCACCAGTCTGATTAGAGAGCTCAGTAGACTGTTGCTGTTGCTTTAGCTGAGTGGGATATATATTTACAGGCACCTATCACTAAAAGGAAAATAAAGAATATTAATATACTAATATACAATATTTTTTGACTTAGTCCTTTTACTCTATCTTTTGCAAATTGGCCATTCTTTGTGTGTTTACAATTTGCCTGCTAGTGCTTTGCTGAAAGGGAAAACCAAATGACAAGGCGTTCAAAAATGACACAATATAAACTTCATCATAATACAACAATGATGTGAAAATGGCAATTCCCCCAGCATATTTGCTAGTCAGAGAAACAAAACATTTTCTGAGTGCACAAGTAAAATGTCTGAATGTGTTACAGACAGCGCACCCACACCTATAACGTGAATGGCGTTAAGAGAAAAAAAAACAATCAAAAAGTGTAATATAAATATAGAATTGGCGTCAATCCTGAAGCCATGTATTGTGTAAATTCGAAAATTAACGATATTTACCGCCGATATCCTCTGATCTTTCACCTCCACTTGGGAGACTGCTTCTGAAAATGATTACCTTGTTTGAAGCCCAACTTTTCGTCATTTTTTTGGGGTGTTGTGAGATGGTAGGTATTAGTCCCGCTTGAACTCTCCAAGAGATTCAGACCCGTTTGCCAGCATGAAGGGTAGCCCAGAGGAGTGAGTGTTTGAGTGAGTCAGGAGTACACCCTCTGCACCTGACCATGGCCCATGATGGGGAGTAGGCCACATCTCATTTGTGAGGTCATCACAATGAGACCACAGACTAACTGGGATCTATTGGTCTCAGGGCAGAAGTCACCTCTGCTCATCAACAAACGCACTTCAGTATGTTCTGAGCATTTATGTCTCTGAATCTCAGGTCACATAAAACATCTGGTAGTCATGATGAACAACAATATCAGCCTCCAGCTCCAGCGTCAATGACAAAGTTAGATCGCCTAATTGTAAAACCATGAATGGAAATTAACTGATAAAGTGTTATTGATACAACCATTCCAACCACCCTATGGCACAGTAACAGAGGTTTCTCCATGAAGTTGTTATCTAATCAATGTAAACCAGTGGCAGTTGGTGCCGTTCAAGATTAGGGAGGCGGATTTGTTTTATTTATTAACATTGCCTTATTTCTATTACAGCATATTGGATGACTGTCATTCATATTCCATTCACCCAGCTCAATGTAACATCAATAGGTTTAGGCTACTACATGATACTATAATTTGCCCTATACCCATCATGAGGTTGCTACAATCTAGCCTACAAATGAAAGTTTATAACGTAGGTGCACAGGTCTAGAGACAAATTGGAGTAATCAAGGTGACAGACAGTGATACATTCAATACTACCTTACACACTCTTGCCTGCATTTAGCTGATCTGGGGTGTACTCATTAGTCCAAAACTATAGTTTCTATTGGACAAATTCAGGTAGGTCCTCCCCGTTTCGTTCCGTTTGCTTCCGTTTCAGAAAAGTTTTGCAACAGAATCGGCTGAATGAATACACCCCTGATCCCCTCACACACAGTTCACTTACATAGCAGCCACTTACAGCATCATCACTTTGCTCGTTGCATAATTCCTTCTCACATCTACGCGCTCTCCTCCTCTCACCTTTTCCCTTCGCTTGTGGACTTCAGTGCACAACGCAACAGCTGTCTGTGACCAGGCGCAAAAACCTCTCCAAGCCAAACCTTCATAACAGAACCGCTACACACCCTTCATACCATAACCACTAACCACTACACAGCCTACATTGTTGTCACCATATTATTGTTAGAGTCAACAAACTAGAACTAACACGTTAGTAAACCCACAATCCAATCCATGTGTACAATCACACAGTACAGTGTAGAGTTAGCAGTTTAGTAGTTACACCAGCACCAATAAATTAATAAAACCGAAAGTTTATCTTGACTTGGAATAGTTGCAGTGTTGGATAGCCTTAGCCAGCTAGCTAACATAAATAACATTCCTCTCTGAGTCAGGTTGTTGAGTAGGCTAAATTATCTGCATTAGCTAAGTAAGTGAAAGGTAAACTAAGAAGAAAACAATACAACAAAATATAGCTAGCTCTCTCTCTCTGCTGCTGCTTCTCTTTCATTTTAAAACTGTTCAACAATTGTCTTTCTCTCTCTTTGAATGAACTACTCACCACATTTTATGCACTGCAGCGCTAGCTTGCTGTAGCTTATGCTTTCAATTCTAGATTAATTCTCTGATCCTTTGATTGGATGGACAACATGTCAGTTCATACTGCAAGAGCTCTGATAGGTTGGAGGACGTCCTCCAGAAGTCGTCATAATTACTGTTTATGTCTATAGAAGGGGGTGAGAACCATGAGCCTCCTAGGTTTTGTATTAAAGTCAATGTACCCAGAGGAGGATGGAAAATAGCTGTACACAATGGTGCTACCCTAGAGGGTGCTGTTGAGGCTTCTGTAGACCTTCATTGCAAAACATTGTGTTTTAATCAGTTATTTGATAACCTGTGAATATATTTAGTATAGTTTTATCAATTTTTCTGAAATTCTGGTCCTATCCTTCCTCCTCTGAGGAGCCTCCACATTGTGAACTAAACCACCCAGAGGTTCATTTATTTAGCTGGTGTCCTTCACATAACCCCAACCTAACCCTGAGTGACCCCACAAGACAGTTAACCTCTGGGATGAGGGACACCCTGTGGAGCCTACTGGTATTTCCCCTGATCTGCACCACACATCATGGGAACTGTGGTCAGTGCTCTCCATCTAGTCCTCTTTCAACATGTCTCAAAGCAGTCGGGATCTGCCCTCTCTAATATTGACAAAGTACCTTTAACTCTCTCTGTTCTCTGGCAGAAGCACCAATGTGTAGATATCCTGCAGTGAATGAATTGCATTAATAGTATCTTACATAATGGAAACCAGTTATCCTTACCCATGTCAAAGCGAGGATGTGGGGGTTTAGGATTGGTGTGTGTGTGTCATCCTGAGTCTGACCATCCCAATGGAGGACAACACTATAGTTACTGACTCCTTCAGCATGTGTAGTGGCGTGCTCTCTGAGTCCTGCAGATGAGGCTCATGGTGGTGGTGAACAGATTACCCCCCACGGCCATCCCCACACCTCCAGGCGGTAACTCCCTCCAGCCAGGCTGGGTAAATTGCGGCCCACGTGATGGAGATAAACTGGGAGGCATTAGCAGTGCTAATCCAGGCCTGATCTTGGGAGCCATGCTGCTCTCTATAGTCCTCCCTGGCTGCTGCCCTGCCGTTTGGCCTTGAAGACAACTGACCGTACAATAACATGGACCATTAGGAATTCAGCCCAAGCCTTCTCCTCTGCTTGGGAAGAGAAAATGTAGGTACTGTATCACTTTTCCTTGCTCCTTCTGTGATGTTCCTGATGTAGTGGGTCAAGTTTGAGTCTTTTTGGCTTTGGTGCCTTTCTGAGGAAGGTTGGTTACGGAGGTGCCTTTGATCTAAGTTATTGTGCTTCTGTAGAGGCTTGCAGCCATTGACATTGCTGTAGCACTTGAACATTGTTTGTCAAGTAATGGACTGCAGCTGGGGTCCCTTTATACACTACATGCCTCTCCACCTCCTCCAAACACTTAAATGACCAAAGCTTGTGGACCTCACTGTGGATGTACATTTGATTCTCTTGTATCACTTGGAATGTTCCTACCTTTTATACGTTTTCTTATAATATTGCAATTGATCCATGGCATAGAATCTAGTAGTAAACCCAAACAGCGTGCACATTCACAGTGATCCAACTCAACATAATTAATCCCGATTTTGTAAAGCGCTAAACAGCACATTGTGTTTTTATCTCTAGCAAGAGCATGGAATGGGTTTATCAATGTCCTAGAATTCAAATATAAGGTCATCTTTCTGAATATAAATTCTGAATAGTTTTTTTGTGAAAGATCATTTTAGAGTTGAGTTGATGATGTAAGGTTGCATGTATGGACAACTCCCATCAGTGATTTCCTTCCCCCTCTTGCACTTGTTTATTAGTTACTGAAAGACCCCACTTCATCACGTCTTGTATTTTTACTCAAGTGATTACAGCACGTAAACACAAAATAAGACAGACAGACGGGCTAAATTAGTCTCTCTGTTGTTGTTGAGACCTGAGAACGCCTCTAGAGGAAGAGCGGCCTTGGAACTACATTGTGGATCTTTACCAAATGTGAAGGACCTACTTGACTATAGGCATAAGAACAATTTGGTTTATTTGAGTTTGTTTAGAATTATTCTATAAATACTGATAAAGTTCATTGATTGAATTTCCTTTGGGTTTGGAATAGATATGTATAAAACCTGACATTTAAAGTTATAGCTTATTTTCCAAAAATTCCTATGTGAATTGAATTGTCTTTTTGTGGAGGGAGATGGTGTAGTGTTCTGTGAATTATGATCCTAGTTGTTTTCCAAATGATATACAAATGGGTGTCATGAGAAAATAATGCATTGTCCTTTAGGCTAGTTGATGAAGAGCTCAGATAAAAAAAGACTTGATAAGAGACTGTATACAAACCCACTCACACACAACACATGCACACGCACACGCACACACACACACACACACACACACACACACACACAAACACACACACACACACACAGCTGAAGTTTATGTACAATTTGCAGATATAAGAAGTGATTTACATGACAAAGACCTCCAACCTTTTCAAAAGTAATCTTTCACAGAGGCTGGCACACTTATCTGTGATGAATGCAAAGGTCTGAGAATATTACCTGAGGAAATTCTCTACTGTGGCTAATCTCCATTGAAGAGTGAATGAGGGATTAAAACATTGTCCTGTGGAGTCAGGAAATAGAGACAGCACAGAGAGGACACAAATGAAGCCCCATGCTGGATCTGATAGGGCCTTGGAGGTCAAGAAAGACCTCAGATAAATATAGACTCTGAGGGCAAAGATGACTCAGTCACTGTTCAAAATTCATACATCACACTTTGCAAAGCACAATTGGGGGCCAGTTTGCTACAGCAGGAAAATAATACTTTTTATTTTATCAGGTAAGTTGACTGAGAACACATTCTCATTTAGAGCAACGACCTGGGGAATATTTACAGAGGAGATGAATGAGCCAATTGGAAGCTGGGGATGATTAGGTGGCCATGATGGTATGAGGCCCAGATTGGGAATTTAGCCAGGACACCTGGGCTAACACCCCTACTCTTACAATAAGTGCCATGGGATCTTTAGTGACCACAGAGAGCCAGGACACCCATTTAAAGTCCCATCCAAACGACAGCACCCTACAAATGGCAATGTCCCCAATCACTGACCTGGGGAATTCAAATATTTATTTTTAGACCGGAGGCAAGCCAGCAGAGGGATGCAGGGTGGTATGCAGCAACAGGAAATGTGAATTATTATATGGATTATAATTAACAGGCAATGTTGTAGGGGTTGATACATTTTTCATAAGTGAAAATCAAGTCTGAAATTTCAAAGTGGAAATTACACACGTCAGAAGCCTTTTTAAACCTCAAATACACTACAGGTTTTACATTTCCTGCATTGCAGGTAAGTTCTCCTGCAACAGGGTGATCAAATTAAGATATGTACACCACTTAAACGGCACAAAAGCTGATATGATTCAGTGTCTGGATCAGTTACCCAAAACAAATTACCAAGAAAAAATACAAATACATAAAATAATGTATTTAGTCTCTCTGTGTTTCATCATTCTCCTTCAATTCGCAAGAGGCTTAATGTATCTCACTGGAGAAAGCATCCGAGCGAGCGAATCAGCGCCCTTCTGTCTCTGTATGTGTAAAAGCGTATGACATTGATGCCGCCGGTAGCATTGAATGCAGTGGAAGCCAGTGAGCATTTGGCCTCCCTTGATAAAAAAAGTATAAAATAATAGCCAATCAGCATTGTGCTAAAATGAGTGAGCTCAACTGTGAAGGGTCCTGGCTAAGAAAAAAAAAGTGTCAAGGGAAGCCAGTTTGGGTTTGGCTTCCCTCCAATCACATCACATCGAGTGCAAATTAGTCATTGACAGAAACAATTTGAATTGTTGCATCTCGCTGGTGGATAGCTAGCTAGCTAAAACAGTATATTTCCTAAATTAGCCATGGATGGAGAGCCATGGATAGGGATTTGGACTTGTGGTTTTGGCCAATGCTTGTAACGGTGATTCTGATCCAACCATAAATTCATATGGTTGGGTCAGAATCGCCTTGGCCTGAGAGGATGGAAGATCAATATGTAGCTAGATGTAGAAGGCATGTTGAAGAAGGCTAGCTAACATTGCACATGAAAGGAAGTTAGGCTAGCGAGCAAGCATTTTATCCAGGTAGCCTAGGACAACAAAAAATAAAAGCGTGTACTGTATGACAGAGGCATAAACCATTTCGTCAACATGAAAGAGAGGAGGATGGCATTGGCGTTTCTCTACAAGTAGGGTGAGTCAACATGTTTTTTCTACTTGCACACACACACACGCGCACGCACGCACGCACACACACACACACGCGCACACGCACGCACACACGCACACACACACACACACACACACACACACACACACACACACACACACACACACACACACACACACACACACACACACACACACACACACAGAAATCAGAACCATGGACACCCACATCATATTTAGCTTACATTGATTGAACTAAATTGTTTTTGGTATCTTTTAGTTGTCACTGTATCAGACTAAGCATGGGTTATTTGATGATATTGAAATGGAGATGGAATCATGGAGGCAACTCCTGTTTTCTTTGCAACTTGTGCTAACTCTCCGTGGTTCTAAATCAATAGTTGTTTAGTAGTCCGAAAATGTCGGAAACATTAACTTGCTTGACCATGCTGTAGGTCATGTAACTGTTTGTTACATGTAATACACTTTGTGGAATTCACTGGACAGATGTTGCTCTCCGGTTTTGTGATGAAACAAAGGTGGGGTTTTATTTATTCTGACACTGTCTATCTTATTGTGTCAGCCTTAGGCCTATATATGACTGTGGTATACGAACTAACAAGTTATAGAGCAAACAACACAATTATCACATAGGTTGTAAAATGGCTTTTATCCTGGCTTTCCCACTGATTTTACCCACGCACCACTACTGGTCTGGATTAAGACCCTTTCTCCCATTGAGGCCTGTAGGTCAACCACAATATGGAGGTAATGCCTCTATTGTACAGAGATACCAGAGGAAATATTAAGCTTTACCACGTATTTTACTGTATGTCAGTGCTGTACAGAGACACAAAAGTAAATATGCAACTTGAAAAGGAAGCTGTGGCTACAATTTAATGTAATAAGAAATTAATGCCATGCAATTAATTTGCAATTAATTTGGTGTTAAACCTCAAAGCATGTTCTGCTGGAAATTGACATGCCTACCGCTCAAATGGGTATACTATTCTGGAAGGTAATACAGAGTAGTTAAGACCATTGTATTTTGAATGAGCATAGTAAGGGCCTACAATATAGTAGTGTGGTATGGATGGAAATGAATGGGAGCAGTTAGTGTTGTTTGAATGCCTGTTTTCTATGAGTACCAAACTGGCAATACAGTGCCGTACATATAGTGAGTAATCCTTTATTGCGTGCTTTGTAAAGGCGAACAGCCGGAAAAAAAACTGCCGAACACCAAAACTAACAGAAACCGCACAAAATGTCCTCATAATACACTACCGGTCGAAAGTTTTAGAACACCTACTCATTCCAGGGTTTTTCTTTATTTTTACTATTTTCTACATTGTAGAATAATAGTGAAGACATCAAAACTATAAAATAACACATATGGAATCATGTAGTAACCAAAAAAGTGTTTAACGAATCAAAATAAATGTTATATTTGAGATTCTTCAAATAGTCACCCTTTGCCTTGATGACAGCTTTGCACACACTTGGCATCAACCAGCTTCACGAGGTAGTCACCTGGAATGCATTTCAATTAACAGGTGTGCCTTTTTAAAAGTACACTTGTGGAATTTCTTTCCTTCTTAATGCGTTTGCGCTAATCAATTATGTTGTGACAAGGTAGGGGGGTATACAGAAGATAGCCCTAATTGGTAAAAGACCGAGTCCATATTATGGCAAGAACAGCTCAAATAAACAAAGAGAAATGACATTCCATCATTATTTTAACATTTACATTTACATTTTAGTCATTTAGCAGACGCTCTTATCCAGAGCGACTTACAGTTAGTGAATACATATTTATTTATACTGGCCACCCGTGGGAATCGACATGAAGGTCAGTCAATATGGAAAAATTCAAGAATTTTGAACGTTTCTTCAAGTGCAGTTGCAAAAACCATCAAGCGCTATGATGAAACTGGCTCTAATGAGGACTGCCACAGGAATGGAAGACCCAGAGTTACCTCTGCTGCAGAGGATAAGTTCATTAGAGTTAACTGCACCTCAGAAATTGCAGCCCAAATAAATGCTTCACAGAGTTCAAGTAACAGACACATCTCAAAATCAACTGTTCAGAGGAGACTGTGTGAATCAGGCCTTCATGGTCAAATTGCTGCAGAGAAACCACTACTAAAGGACACCAATAATAAGAAGAGACTTGCTTGGGCCAAGAAACACGAGCAATAGACATTAGACTGGTGGAAATGTGTCCTTTTTTCTGGAATCCAAATTGGAGATTTTTGGTTCCAACCGCTGTGTCTTTGTGAGACACGGTGTGGGTGAATGAATGATCTCCGCATGTGTATTTCCCACCGTAAAGCATGGAGAAGGAGGTGTTATTGTGTGGGGTGCTTTGCTGGTGACACTGTCTGTGATTTATTTAGAATTCAAGGCACACTTAACCAGCATGGCTACCATAGCATGCTGCAGTGATACGCCATCCCATCTGGTTTGGGCATAGTGGGACCCAACAAACCTCCAGGCTGTGTAAGGGCTATTTTACCAAGAAGGAGAGTGATGGAGTGCTACATTAGATGACCTGGCCTCCACAATCCACCGACCTCCACCAAATTGAGATGGTTTGGGATGAGTCGGACCGCAGAGTGAAGGAAAAGCAGCCAACAAGTGCTCAGCATATGTGGGAACTCCTTCAAGACTGTTGGAAAAGCATTCCAGGTGAAGCTGGTTGAGAGAATGCCAAGGGTGTGCAAAGCTGTCATCAAGGCAAAGGGTGGCTATTTGAAGAATCTCAAATATAAAATATATTTTGATTTGGTTACTACATGATTCCATATGTGTTATTTCATAGTTTTTAAGTCTTCACTATTATTCTACAATATAGACAATAGTAAAAATAAAGAAAAACCCTTGAATGAGTAGGTGTTCTAAAACTTTTGACCGGTAGTGTATATGTGCGAAACGGCGCGCCACGTTTCGACTAGATAGTATGCGGCGGTCTTTAATCCTGAGGGGATGATGGGGCAGCAGCTATGGGACTGGTAGTATCTGACTCAAACAAAAAAACACTCCACAACAGGATGTTTCTGTTGACAAGGCAGTAAACCATTAGTGACGTTTCTAAGACATTCGCTGGTGCCAGTGAGTAGAGTCTCTGAGTAAAATGCAAACAACCAGTGTGTATTGCCAGGAGGCCTGTAATCTTTTCATTTCTCCAACCACGTTTTAACTCCTAGCCGGCCACACTACAGAGAGGGCCAGAAACACAGACCCTGACGAAGGCCCTACAGAGGCCAAAGCACTCACCCCCAGTCTTGCAAAGCACTTTGACAGAGCTGGTCTGGATATGTCCTCAGCCACTGTCAGTTTACCACTTCCTGATCTGGAGAAATGTTTTGCACCCCGCCATGTCACACATGTATTTGCATGAAACAACCACTTACACACACAGGTGCTCGAGCCCACAAACAACACACACACACACAGTCTTGTACAACTAACCTTGTGGGGACACACAATTCAGTCCCATTCAAAATCCTATTTTCCCTAACCCTTAACCCTAAACCTAACCCTAACCCGTACCCTAACCCTAAACTTAACCCAAAAACCTAACCTTAACCCTAAACCTAACCCTAGCTCCTAACCCTAACCCTAAAACTAACCCTAGCTCCTAACCCTAAACCTAATTCTAACCCTAACACTAATTTTAACCTTAACCCTAAATCCCCTATAAATAGCATTTGACCTTGTGGGGACAAGGGGCTTTGAGGTCTGGAACGTCACTGTAACAGAATTCTTCCCTATTTAGGAACAAGTTCACTCCTTTTGTCTACACGGACAATTAGTGTAAAGATTCCAGTTATGAAAATGAATGCTAAGATTGACATGTGATGGTATTGATTAGCAGTAAGCCTGTAAAACATTAGCCATTATTTTTTTGCACAACTACAGAAAGCATTTGAAAACCCTCCTACTGTGAACAGTAAAATTATAGTTAATGTTCTAAAGCCGAAGGGGTTATAATTCAATACAGACATATCACAGCATGGAAGCATGCAACACAACACCAAACACTTAAAAGAGCTTTCAGGATAGATACCGCAGAACATAATTTATGGTTGTGAGACAAGAATTGCTTACACAGAGGCATCACTGAGAGATACCACAACAATGTGAGCCTAAATCAAACTGTGAAGCCAATAAAACACTCTTGAGAGATAAATAAATAATGAAAACAAAATCTCTTGCTGCATAGTTCAGCTTAAACCATTTCTATGCAGCCAATCCCTCGAGCAAAGCCATCTAGAAGCTCGTGGAAAATCATTAACGCTCAGATCTTTCAAGGAACAATTGCATAATTTTCTTCTTTGGCCGGGGTTTCAAGGTTACAGATTTACGTGTTTCTTGTGACGGCAAGGAGTATCTTCTGTAAACTGATGCAAGGCAGGCTTATGTGAGAACGACTGTAAATTCAAAGCTGCCTATTCAAACACAGACATACCTGACAAGTCTCTGTCCTGCGAAAGGGAGACTACAACTGGAACAAGATAAATCTTGTGGTGGAATGAGAGACTTCTGGAGGCTACCATGGTAATAGACTTTTCATCTGGGGCTTGACATGATGCCAAAGGAGTATCCCATCCATGCTCACAATGGACTCACAATAGTATCCCAGCCATGCTCACAATCGCCGTCAGAATACAGCTTGGGTAAACTTCCTCACAGAGCTGTATGCTGACTGCTATTCCCTGTTCACTTTTTATAAACTGAAAAATACAAACAAAAAATAAAGGCATTCAGGGACCTCATGCATGGGTTGCCAGGATTGAAATACCTATTTTTATCTGGGCAAAACCACACTTAGCACATTTAACAATCTACACCTGTAAAAGAGCCACCGCAGAATGGCCTCAGCAGAGGGACAAAGTATTTTGTTGAAGGCAAAAACACTTGTGATCTGTTGAAATGAAGGCCACTGTGCACTGTTTACGGCAGTGGGACTATGAAACATACTGTAATATGTCATCGATTGCATGAAGTTCTGTGATTTTATGATGTTTGGTGTTGCATTGAAACATTCCTCTCAACCTCTTTCCTTGTGTTTCCTTGTCTTTCAGAGTGTCAATGCTCCTACTCATTCTAAGATGAAGTTATGGAAGTGTGCCGCCATCGCCTTGACTCTCTGTGGAGCAGCACTGTCCCTCTTCCTCACTCGAATCATGGTTCCCACGCTACCGCATCACTTCCCCTCCTGGGACACGTCTTCGTCGCGGATGTCCTCATCCTCCAACTCCTCTTCCTCACTGATCGGTGGCCGTCATCGCAAAGTGCGGTCGACGGAAGGCATCGGCAACATTTTGACAGAATGTAAGCAAAATCTTCATCTTCAGTCACCAACTATTTTTGTCCAGATGTTCTGATTGGTTTGGATATTCTGATTGACTCTTGCTAAAGCTCTGAAGTCATTGGTCTGTGAAGAAAACGTTGTGGTGGAGACCAGTCAAGAGAATGTACGCTTTGACACCCATGTGTTGGTGTCAACAGTAAATTGGATAATTCCCAGCCAGTCTGAGGGCCACCAATAGTGTACCTGTACAGATAAAGCCACTGTACCTCTACCGACAGAGCATGGCAGCATAGCAGCCAACCGCAGCTTACAGCCAGCCAGGGTAATCAAATCAAATGTGACGTCCAGAGAGCAGATAACTCCATTAAGGTCTGGAGTGTCATCTCAACATCCCAGGAGCATTTGCACTTTGAGGGTGATAAAATGCCTATAACCTCCTGATATGGTTTTAGAGGGTATGCAGTATTCATGAGAAAATGTGACATAAAAGATTCAGAGATGTAAAATGTCAGTGATGGTCTCGGGGTATGTCCGTTAGGATGGGGATAAGAAGAGTTTCAGAGAGTCCCACTAAGTGGGTTAGTGGAGGCTAGAGAGTTGACATCCCTGGCCCTGTGGTTGATGTAAAGACAAAACCGACACACTATCTCTTAGGTTTGGGCTGCACATTACTGTGGGTTCTTGTTATAACTCATCCGCTGACGGCATTCTATTTTCAAACTAATAGAAAGTTGGCTGCAAAACTGAGCGTGACTGAGGGGAATTTCTCTAAAGTCATTTTTACCAGACCGAAACGTTCTATTCAGTGTCCTTTTGCTGGACTCAGAGTGTGACTGTCAGACCATTATTCTGATTATCCAGTAGAGATTTTCCAGGCCAGGTCAAGTGTAAAATCAGCTAGCCTAATTACCTAATCTGTGATGCCACTGCCAGGCCAGGGAAATCTTCACACGAAACAAACGACCGAATTACCAACTCTTCACTTTGGGAAGGCCTTTTCCAGTTTCATTTATGAATGCAGAGAACAGCGAAGTGTTGTTCCTTCAAGAGCACCATTGATTACAGTGTCAGTCAGTGAGCCAGGCTAATACAGGCCTATTACTGTACATGTTGTTCAAGTGTCTGAGTTTATAGGGTTTAGGGTTTAACATGCCCCCTGGCGTTGCAAAAGACCCTGAGCCTTTTAAGTAAAGGTTGTGTCCTGGAGGGGATAGAATGAACAGTTAATTATAGCTATATCTAACTGTAGAACAGTATGGTGACCCTAAGGGGCAAAGTATAACAGAATTGTCAGACAGAAAAGCATTGTTTTTCATGATATCTAAACCTCTTGTGAAGGAAATACCTGAAAGCATCTTTAAAGGGGTAATCTGCGATTTCTACATCCAGTTTTGGACTTTTAAATTAACTAAATATACCCATTGATTCTTAAAGAATATAACTTATAAATGCCTCATGAGCTTAGTTCAACTAGCCAGCAGAATACCACCCTGCATCCCACTGCTGGCTTGCTTCTGAAGCTAAGCAGGGTCGATCCCTGGATGGGAGGCCAGATGCTGCTGGAAGTGGTGTTGAATGGCCAGTAGGAGGCTCCCTTTCCTCTGGTCTAAAATATCCTAGGACAGTGATTGGGGACATTGCCCTGTGTAGGGCGCTGTCTTTTAGATGGGATGTTAAACAGATGTCCTGACTCTCTGTGGTCTCTAAAGAATCCATGACACCTATCGTAAGAGTAGGGGTGTTAACCCCGGTGTCCTGGCTAAATTCCCAATCTGGCTATCATGGCTAGCTAATCATCCCCAGCTTCCAATTGGCACATTCATCTCCCCTGTAACTATTCCGCAGGTTGTTGCTGTAAATGAGAATGTGTTCTCAGTCAACATAACTGGTTAAATAAAAACTGTTGTACCCCATCAGAACCCAAAATATAAGCCTATTTTACTCCATCGTTTGTAAACAATGTCATTGTAAACAAATACTATATAGCTGCAAAACATGGTTTAAACTATAATCTTGATCTCATGGATGGTCAGTCCTTCCATCCATATCTCTGTCTATGAATTTGAGAGTGGTTATATTTCTACAGCCCCATCCCTCTGCTCTTTACCAAAACAGAGGCTGGTGAAAGCTTTGTTATTGTTGCAACGGCAGATCGCCCCTTTTAATCGATACGCATATGCCCCGTTTATGAAACCTTGAGTATTACATGTTTATGGAATCACTCTCAATTAATAAGGAGGTGTTTTTGGTTTATACCCTTGATGCTGGCAACACATACAAGTATGTGATCGCTACAGGCCCATTGAGCACAGAAGGAAATCAATTCTCAGGGAATGTTTTATTGGACACGCCCATATTTATTTACAGGTTCTATAAAGATTTATATCATGTTCTGGCAGCATTGTTTTGGTATTTGGTAATCCCTCTGGCAGGAGGTTCTGGATCAGGTGTCCAAATGCATTGGACACGTTTCAATGCGCACCTTATATCTCACTCCACTCCTACACATCTGGGGAACAAGTTCATTGACTCCTAATGTGTTAAATGTGCTTATGTTTAACATGTGTAAACTTGGCAAATATAGTTCAACAAAGACTCAGCCAAACTGCCATGGTCTGAAAGGGGATATTCTATTTCTATATATAGTGTCTACTTTCTCTGTCAAGTACATAGCTAGCAGCTAGACTGGAGTTCAATATTTGCACAACTGACAATGTTTTAACATTGGAAAAGGCTCATGTCACTCCTAATGTATGTGTGCATGTACAGTATGAGAGATACTATGTTAACTATGAAAAAGTAACTTAGTTAGACACACCTGTCATTGATGATAGATAGAGACTGATTTTAGAGAACTTATTGTTCACTAAGCCAATGATCCATGCAAGTCGAAAGGATGAACATGTTTCAATCGTTTGCAATTCATCTCTACAAACTGTGTGAAGGAAGGAATGTCTAAAGCTAGCGTTATACAAGTAACTGCCAAAATAAAGGAAACACTTGAGTAAATGAGGGATACATTGAACGCACACAGGTGTGGGTCCTGAGTTAATTAAGCAATTGAAACATCCCATCATGCTTAGGGTCATGTATAAAAATGCTCAGTTGCTCATTATTTTGGTTACCATGGCTAAAAGAAGAGATCTCAGTGATTTTGAAAGAGAGGTCTCAAAAGAGCATAGGGGGTTTAAAGTGTGTGTGTGTGTGTGTGTGTGTGTGTGTGTGTGTGTGTGTGTGTGTGTGTGTGTGTGTGTGTGTGTGCGTGCGTGTGCGTGTGCCTCAGTCACCAGACCTCAACCCAATTGAACACTTATGGGAGATTCTGGAGCAGCACCTGAGACAGCGTTTTCCACCACCATCAACAAAACACCACATTATGGAATTTCTTGTGTAAGAATGGTGACGCATCCCTCCAATAGAGTTCCAGACACTTGTAGAATCTATGCCAAGGCGTATTGAAGCTGTTCTGGTGGCACTGGCGGCTCGTGGTGGCCCAACGCCCTATTAAGACACATTATGTTGGTGTTTCCTTTCTTTTGGAAGTTACTTGCATGTTCCAATACATTTCACAGGTACAGTTGACGCAGCTGTTTTTAAAGCCTGTTACCCTGTCACGTTCCTATTATTTGAAAACCTGTACCAACAACCGTATGGATCTTTTATCTTTCTATTTTCCAAACTGACATAATGGTTGAGGCTGGGGTCTCACAGACATTCAAAGCTCTGCATTGTATCACAGGCCATGCTGTATGTACAACATATTTATTGTATGGTTCTAATGGTTGTATCTTCCTCTAGCCGAACACCAACTCTTCTTCTCTTCTCTGCAGTCATGCACATGTTCCAGAGCTTCACAGAGGGGGAGCTAAAGCAGATGATCGCGACTCTGGTGGAGAAGAAGGCACGGCAGGAGGCCAGGCAGAGCAAAAGAACTAAACGGGCTAAGAAAGCATCAAAGCCATGTTCCCTGAGGGAGGTGGAAGTGACTGTCAGTGAGCTGGATCTGGGATACTACAGTGATGAGACGCTGCTCTTCAGGTATTGCAGCGGGAACTGTAAAGCTAGCCGCCGCAACTACGACGTCATACTGAAGAAATGGACGAGGAAAGGCATCTCAAAGAGGGAGAGGAGCCCCTGCTGCCGGCCCAAGGAGTACGATGACATTTCCTTCCTGGACAACACTAACAGATACAAGACGCTCCACAACTTTTCTGCTCTGGCCTGTGGCTGTGTATAACGCCTCGATAGTGGCCATTTTGATTTCCCAGATACTGTATCAAACATGGGAAATGCAACAACTACTGCTACAAAATCAAAAACAGGAGTACACAAGAATCGATCCCTGCAGTACAATGCCAGGGAATACGGCACATTTGAAACTACCATCTACGAGTGTTCATTTTGTGTTTGTTTTTAAAAGACATCAGCAAACGTCTGTTTTTCTTTCTTTGCCTTTCATGGGATACTTCTCTGTTGGTTGTGAGGATAATACATTATATGACCTATGTGTCATCATGGGGCAATAACAGTTAATGCAATGATTTGCTGCTTGATTGTGGACTACGGAGCAATGGCTCCATTACCTACAGTTGAAGTCGGAAGTTTACATACACTTAGGTTGGAGTCATTAAAACTCGTTTTTCAACCACTCCACAAATTTCTTGTTAACAAACTATAGTTTTGGCAAGTCGGTTAGGACATCTACTTTGTGCATGACACAAGTAATTTTTCCAAAAATTGTTTACAGACAGATTATTTCACTTATAATTCACTGTATCACAATTCCAGTGGGTCAGAAGTTTACATACACCAAGTTGACTGTGCCTTCAAACAGCTTGGAAAATTCCAGAAAATTATGTAATGGCTTTAAAAGCTTCTGATAGGCTAATTGACATAATTTGAGTCAATTGGAGGTGTACCTGTGGATGTATTTCAAGGCCTACCTTCAAACTCAGTGCCTCTTTGCTTGACATCATGGGAAAATCAAAAGAAATCAGCCAAGTCCTCAGAAAAAAAATGTAGACCTCCACAAGTCTGGTTCATCCTTGGGAGCAATTTCCAAACGCCTGAAAGTACCACGTTAATCTGTACAAACAATAGTACACAAGTATAAACACCATGGGACCACGCAGCCATCATACCGCTCAGGAAGGAGACGTGTTCTGTGTCCTGCAGATTAACGTACATTGGTGCAAAAAGTGCAAATCAATCCCAGAACAACAGTAAAGAACCTTGTGAAGATGCTGGTGGAAACAGGTACAAAAGTATATATATCCATAGTAAAACGAGTCCTATATCAACATAACCTGAAAGGCCGCTCAGCAAGGAAGAAGCCACTGCTCCAAAACCGCCATTAAAAAGCCAGACTATGGTTTGCAACTGCACAAAGTTCGTACTTTTTGGAGAAATGTCCTCTGGTCTGATGAAACAAAAATAAAACTGTTTGGCCATAATGACCATCGTTATGTTTGGAGGAAAAAGGGGATAACTTGCAAGCCGAAGAACACCATCCCAACTGTGAAGCACGGGGTGGCAGCATCATGCTCTGGGGGTGCTTTGCTGCAGGAGGGACTGGTGCACTTCACAAAATAGATGGCATCATGAGGAAGGAAAATTATGTGGATATATTGAAGCAACATCTCAAGACATCAGTCAGGAAGTTAAAGCTTGGTCGCAAATGGGTCTTCCAAATGGACAACCCCAAGCATACTTCCAAAGTTATGGGGCCCCGTGCAGCTCAGTTGGTAGAGCATGGCGCTTGCAATGCCAGGGTTGTGGGTTCGTTTCCCACGGGGGGCCAGTATGAAAAAAAAATGTATGCACTCACAAACTCTAAGTCGCTCTGGATAAGAGCGTCTGCTAAATGACTGTAGATGTAAAATGGCTTAAGGACATCAAAGTCAAGGTATTGGAGTGGCCATCACAAAGCCCTGACCTCAATCCTATAGAAAATGTGTGGGCAGAACTGAAAAAGCATGTGTGAGCAAGGAGGCCTACAAACCTGACTCAGTTACACCAGCTCTGTCAGGAGGAATGGGCCAAAATTCACCCGACTTATTGTGGGAAGCTTGTGGAAGGCTACACGAAATGTCTGATCCAAGTTAAACAATTTAAAGGCAATGCTACCGAATACTAATTGAGTGTATGTAAACTTCTGACCTACTGGGAATGTGATGAAAGAAATAGAAGCTGAAATAAATAATTCTCTCTACTATTATTCTGACATTTCACATTCTTAAAATAAAGTGGTGATCCTAACTGACCTAAGACAGGGAATTTTTACTAGGATTAAATGTCAGGAATTGGGAAAAACTGAGTTTAAATGTATTTGGCTAAGGTGTATGTAAACTTCCGACTTCAACTGTACATGTATACAAAAGATCAGCTGAGGTATAACTAGTGCATGCTCTATTGCCAGTCTGGTCTGATTCCACACTTGTAAGAGGCCTGGTTAAAAAAAATCTGAATGTGTTTGTAGGAGTGTGTTCATGGAAAATACTAGAATAAGATAGTGAATGCCAAGAACAACACGTACAGTATAAAAAAGGATAAAAACAATATGAAGCTTCTACAGCTTCTCCATAACTTCTTGATCTGCACCATTGATAAGGCATGAGGCATCACTAAGGCAAATCCAATGGATCAGCAACAACAGTAGACTATGAAAGACAATAGGCTTGGAGAAACATGTAGAGCAGGCTTCGCACATTATATGATGTGTAATTCCTTCCTATCACAGGTAATGAACTAAATAATGAAATCTCCAGCCTTTATCAGTAACCATGAAAATCTACCTCATTTATGTTTAACAATAATGGACAACAACACCCAATATAAAATAACCCTTAAATGTTCTTCATCTGCTTCCTCTGTATTCATCACTAGAAACAGACTAAAATAATATATTTTAGTAGTAGTAAATACACTAATGACATGTATTGGCATAAGAAGTTAGAGGATAAAAAAAGAACCACAGCCACATGCTTGTTGCATGCATGCTAAATGGAGCCTGTATGGGTGATTTAAGCTTAATGACAGCAGCTTGTTAATCAAATGGCTATAGCTGTATAATCCTTTTCCTGGAAAATAAAAATCCAACAGAAAAACAACATGCAATCAAAAATCCCTATCCTTCTACAGCAAGATCACTATGAGCTCATCAAATTCAACTTAGATGGTAATAGAGTAATGCAGTCTTGTTTGATAATCTAGGCAGAGTGATGCATTAAATGGGTGACTGCTGCATCGTAAATGTGACTGCGAGAGGGATTGCGCTTCAGTCTTGAATTAGCCTCCACAAATCCATACCATTTGTGCAAATCCCATAATAGACTACCCTAATCCACTTATCTCCTTTATAACTGACTTGGCCAAAAGCACTGAGTACAAAAGAGAGAAATGCAAGCCACCATGCAGCACTAACAGCTATTTTTAGTCACTAGATGACTAGAGAACACTGGAGACATTTTGAATTAACCACACATGTAATGTTACCATAACAGGTTTGATAGCCTAATATGTGCTTCATTAAACAGAGTAATTTTGAAAACAAAATAGAAATCATTCTCTTAGATCAATTGTGGCCAAATATACTTCTAATAACCTTATCGTAACACACCTTGAACAGGTTCAAGAGCAATGCCATGAGTTCAGAAACAAACTCTCAACGTTGAAAACTGTAAAACAATACAATTTAGACTGAGAGCTGCATCGAAATGGTAACTTCAACCCAATTAGATATTTTACCTGAGCATCTACAGTATAGTGAGAGGTCCAGTAAGGTTTAAATTGAATAGTCTGAAACCAGTGGGGATGCCTCTTAAGTTAAGACCAATCATATAGTTAGAGCAGAAAGGTAATTAAAGGCCCATGCTGGCATTAAGACAAGAAAACAGGCCTCCCCAGCCCAGGACCATAATACCCTCAAGTCTAAATGTGCTTAAAAACCAAAGGATTCCACCTTCTCTGAACAATCAGTACACAGACAGTTGCTGTCCAGATTAGCTGTAGACTCCCCCTTGCATGTAGAGAAAGGAGTATATCTCTGGCATGTTACAATGGTCCACATTGTTGAAGACGTTTCAATCAAATAATTTAAGGGATGGGTCACCCAAATTACAAAAGGACACATTGGTTTTAGCATTTGTGGCACAAATCCCATTCAAGTCATGGGACCAATATTAGCATTTTCCATGCATTATGTTCAAATCATCTAAGTGGCTTTGTTGAGCTTCACAATCCAGTTTAGATACTTTAGAATTATTTGGACATGATGTGCGAAAAATGCTAATATCAGTCCCATGACTTGAATGGGATTTGTACCACAAATGCTAAAACGTTAGCATTTAGAAACAGTGCCAGGGAAACTAAACCAAAGCATGGATTGCTGTCATACCTTGTCCATAGACTGCTTACAGGGTAAGGAAACCAATATGTCATTTTGTAATTTGGGTTAGCTATCCCTTTAAGCATTTTTTGAAGGACAAATAATGTATGTGATTTATTTTTGCCTTTTCAAAGGATTACAATTTAAGAGAAAAGAGCAACTAGAAAAACAAATTGCTGTCTTAATGTTGATATATATGTACAGTATTTTTCATTATATACACTACTGTTCAAAAGGTTGGGGTCCTTAGAAATGTCCTTGTTTTCCATGAAAACATACATGAAATGAGTTTGAATGGGAAATATAGCAAAATGCACAGGAAATGTAGTCATTGACAAGGTTAGAAATAATGATTTTTAATAGAAATAATAATTGTGTCCTTCAAACTTTGCTTTCATCAAATAATCCTCCAATTGCAGCAATTACAGCCTTGCAGACCTTTGGCATTCTAGTTGTCAATTTGTTGAGGTAATCTGAAGAGATTTCACCCCATGCTTCCTAAAGCACCTCCCACAAATTGGATTGGCTTGATGGGCACTTCTTACGTACCATACGGTCAAGCTGCTCCCACAACAGCTCAATAGGGTTGAGATCCGGTGACTGTGCTGGCCACTCCATTATAGACAGAATACCAGCTGACTGCTTCTTCCCTAAATAGTTATTGCATAGTTTGGAGCTGTGCTTTGGGTCATTGTCCTGTTGTAGGAGGAAATTGGTTCCAATCAAGCACCGTCCACAGGGTATGGCATGGCGTTGCAAAATGGAGTGATAGCCTTCCTTCTTCAAGATCCCTTTTACCCTGAACAAATCTCCCACTTTACCACCACCAAAGCACCCCCAGACCATCACATTGCCTCCACCATTCTTGACAGATGGTATCAAGCACTCCTCCAGCATCTTTTCATTTGGTCTGCGTCTCACAAATGTTCTTCTTTGTGATCCGAACACCTCAAACTTCGATTTGTCTGTCCATAACACTTTTTTTCCAATCTTCCTCTGTCCAGTGTCTGTGTTCTTTTGTTCATCTTAATCTTTTCTTTTTATTGGCCAGTCTGAGATATGGCTTTTTCTTTGCAACTCTGCCTAGAAGGTCAGCATCCC